AAGAGTGAAAAATTTAAGGGGGTCTGAATACTTTCCGTTATATATATATATATATATATATATATATATAAACTTTATTCCTTTCCTTGAACAATTTGAGTCTACAAGACAAAATCTTTTTCTTAAAAATTCCTCAGAAAATGTCAAACATGGTTTTCAAGGTTATATGTAGTTTTTCAGATATCATTATTTTGAACCAATTTTTATTTTACAGGGAATAGTATTTACATGTTTCAAACTCTTTTTTTAATGTTATGAATTTAAATTCGAAAATTAAAAACATAGGAGATCTGTATTCTGTCGTTTTATTTATGCATTGCATTTTTAATGCATTTGAATAACCTAATCGATCTGGACAGAAAAGTCAATAAATAAAACTGGTATCATGCTATTTGACTCAAAATACAGCTGCAAGTATTCAGTATGCTTATTTTAAACTATTAAAACCTGAAATGAAACAGTATACAAGAGTGTCACGTTTCACCCCCCCGCAGGATCATGAAGTATTGAGACTGTTAGGGTTTTAATAGGGCGAGTCACTGAAAATCAGTCCCGTCTCTCGGTTTAATTCTGCAAGTTTTACAGCGCTCTTTTGGTAGCATGGATCGCTTTATTGGGCTAAAATGCAATAAGCCCCATCTCTCAAAGCTAATAAAGCACTCAATGAATCACACTTGGTGTGCCATTCAGAGAAACCTCTGCAACCTAGAAATCCATAAAGAGCATGCTGAAACGAACAGGACTTCCCCTAGTGAAACACAAGGACAACACTCACTGGAACAAAAAGCCACACAATTTATTTTTTTGTATTTTAATGTATAACAGAAAAGCATTTATACAAAAATGAAAAGTTGACAGGTAGCTTGAAAACATTTGCAATTTTTGACTCACTCATCAAACGCAAGAAAATAAACATTGTGGTAAAAAGCATGCCATAGGCAACATAAAACAGTTCATGAAGCCAACATGACTTGGAATTTGGTCAGTCTGCCCATTAAATTTCACTGCAAGATATTGCAGTTAAAAGTTATAAAAGATGGTTTCATTAAGGGGGATGAAGCCAAACTGTAAAGATCTCAGTGACTTGCCCTGTGCATCTAAACCATGGTTCGACATGTTTCTGGGATGCATCTTTGACAAGACTCTTTCAACACTTTGACAAGACAATATCTCCCTTTCAAATGATCCCATATAGTTAAAACAGACATTTTTTTTTATCTGTGACATACTGCACCCACAACATGTTGCATTCACACTGAATTTCACCTGAAAATGGCTTTGGATATCTGTAAAAATGTACACCCATTAAATATTTGCCCCAGATCCAACATTGACTAAAACCCTTCAAATGTGGCAACACTGGCCCATCTCTGCACTTAAATTTTTTTTCCCTGGAAACATTCAAGTAATGTTTTCCAAGCTCCCCTCTGGCGATGGCTCTGACATACTGTCTTCATTAGAGGAGCAGGGCCTGATTTGGAAACATGAGCTGGGAGCCCACTGCTAAACTACATTCTTCAGATTCCCTGTAAAACAAGCAGGGGAGGAGATAGAGAGGGGTAAAGACAATTCTTAAAAATGGGTCAAAATGAATTACAGAAAACATATTGAGCAATATTAATACAGTGATAGAGACATGTGGTGTAATGAATGGAACTGTGAAAAATTTACACATGAAATCAGTGCTGACAAACCTAAATATATACAAAAATCTGCTGTGTCCACCTGAACGTCTGCACAAGAACCTACCACACTTTAATGTCACAATGACACAAACTGAAACAAAGCAGCGAGGTTGCAAATCTGGAAAAAACAGGATTTCCTATGACGTCTCTTACGGAAGCACAACCTATTCAAATATTTCTAAATCTAAATCAATTTACATGGATTTACAAACCGCAATTTGCATTGGAATTGTGCCTGCCATTCACACTAGCTGAGCTGAAAAAGGACGTCTCCTTTGTTCTCACCAGCTGGTTGGCAAATGAATTTGAATTTAAGGCCCTAAAGGAAATCCTGGTTTAAAAAAAAGGAATCAATAGGAATCCATACTTTACAAAGCAAGCTTTATAATCATTTTTAAAAAAAGTCATTTAACCTAATTTTTAAAATTTGATCTGCAATAAGGCCACAGTTTGTCATGAAATGTAGCTGAAGTCATGGCTCCTACAAAATTGTTGCAAAAAAGCATTCCCTCATTTTCAGAGATTTAATCGGAAGGCATGCATCTACAGTGACATTTTAACACTATTTTTAAGCACAACATGTTCCTCTTACTTTGAAGGTTGCGGTTCCGAAGGCCTTGGAACTAATTATCTTCAATTCTCATTTGAAATGAGCAAGCTTTTCCTTTCCTAAACCTCGAGTGGTTTTACATTAAGGAAACCATAAACGTTTATGAATCTATTTACATGCAGAATTTAGCAGATGTCCGATGATTTCCCGTCTCCATCTTTCCGGCCTACATACAGTGGGTACGGAAAGTATTCAGACCCCCTTAAATTTTTCACTCTTTGTTATATTGCAGCCATTTGCTAAAATCATTTAAGTTAATTTTTTTTCCTCATTAATGTACACACAGCACCCCATATTGACAGAAAAACACAGAATCGTTGACATTTTTGCAAAATTTAAGGGGGTCTGAATACTTTCCGTACCCACTGTATGCATGCTCTTTTCAAATATGGACTGTTTTCAGGGAGACGGAATCAACAAAAATGTTCAGTTTGTTTGTAGTCGTCTACAACATGCACAAACGATATGGTCTCTATTAACACCCACTGTTTAAAATTATATGGCATTCAACATGAGTTTGATAAACTCAGCAGTATTTGCTGATCAGAACCACTGAAAACAACCATGTATGGTGTTTACTCGTTTTTGCCCCTCTTTCTCTCAGCATTTTATAATGCAAGGCTGAGTGTCGGAAATGTTACCCAGATGTGCTTGGAAACTCCAGTAATGTGTAACAACTGCAAGCCTCTCTTTAAATTACCTGCATTAATCAATCGCAGTTCTTCACAGAGAAATGGTTGTGCATATTATCAGAATGCATGTCATATTATGCATGCTTGGGAAGGTCAGGTACACAGACTTCAGGTAACTCTCATCACACAGGTTGGCACTCGTCTTGCATTTGCTTCCCTCATCTGCATGATTTCCTTTCCCTCATAAACATGGCGCTTATGTGACATACATAAGACTGTAAACAACCACTGAGCACTACAGAAAAATCCTAATTAAACAGTTTAATTGATGTGAGCTGTTCACTTGAAAGCTGAGGCACATGGGGCTGTGCGAGCTTGTTGAAAAACGATATGGGAGTCTTTAGAAAACCCTGCACTTCAATGGTGTAATTTAGTGCCTAATAAAACCTCATCACAAACAATTACTTCCTCCTAATATAAACCCAACCATCTGACATCAATTGACCAGTGTGCTACACTGTCCTGACTATCCAAACAACAACTACAGTCAATTACCACAAAATACCTGGCATACAAATAGTGCCAGCCTACTTCAAACCACTGGCCAGGTATAACACCACATTCAATTCACCTGGCACATAGAAGTCTCATTGGATTTGTATAGTAAACTAACTAACTTCCTTCCTTCCTTCCTACCAACCTACCTATAAATGAGCCAAAGCAACCTAATTGCTATACATTTTGTCCTAACTTAATTTCATTGTTCAATCCACTTAAAATATATATACAAATAGATGAAAAAGTGTACTCAATCCATTTGTGTCGGGAGTTAATCAATCTTTCTGCTGCATTAACTGAAACTTTGCAGTGTTATTTTTAAAATTAAGATAAAATCGATGTTTTCTATTTTTAATGTATTCTAAATTGTAATTTATTCCTGTGATGGTAAAGTCAGTGTCACATGATTCTTCAGAAATCCTTCAAATTTTTTGACTTGGTGCTCAAGAAACATTTTTTTATTATTATTTTCAATTATGTTGAAAATGGATGTTCTGATTAAATCATGCTACTTTTTTTTCAGGATTCTTTGCTGAATAGAAAGTTCAAAATAACAGCATTTATTTGAAATACACTTTTTTTGTAACATAAAACTCTGTCAATTTTGATTAATTTAATGCATCCTTACTGAATTAAACTATTACCTTGTCTTTGTACTCATTTGATTGCAGGAATCTACTCTGGATACCTTACATAAGATGTGCCACGTACAAGTAAAATGACAGACAGATAATTGCTCCATCAAAACGTATTTTAAACTAAAAATACCCAAAAACAATTATATCTCAGACATAGTTAGAGGTTCTGCATAGCACATTTTTAACATATCACACGTAAATCGTGTATTTCAACATGGCAGAACAGATGCCACTGAAATGTCATATATGCCTATATAAACACATTGGTTAACCTAAAGAAGCCGCACAGAATCAAAGTAGAGGAGGTTGTCAGTTCTCAGAAAACTCTGAGGATGTGATGTGGTGCATGCAGCACAGGACACTTAATGTAGTTCCACTGCGGTCATTTCGAAAGCTGATCTCTGTACACTATTTCACTGTCTGATGACCCTCTGTAAACAGAAGATCCTAAAAGCCAAAATGATCTGGAATCTGTGCCCATGTGTGATATAGCAGTCTTATATAGCAGTCTTAAGAGATGGGTGGAAAGCCTAAATTGGAAGTTGAACCGTCTGCGCCTTAAGCCCTTTTTAATTATTACCTAGAGCTGCGGGACAGAGCGAACACACAGCACATGCTACACATACCGCTTGGGCACAGAAAATAAGCATGTTTGCATATTTGTCATGTACTGTTTAAGGAATAGGCAAAACTCTCTCATTGCAAAAATAAATAAACAATTCCGGCAAAAAGGAGTAAAAGTAATGCTTGTTGATGAATATATCTTCTGAAAAATTTATAAAAAACATCAATTATTTAGTATTATATGACTAAAATGTGTGTTTTCATACAAAGAAAACCTTTCCCTGCACCATAGCTCTTAAATCTCTTTCAGACTTAAGGTATAGCCACATTAGCCACATTTCAGTAAAATTTCACCAAAAAAAAAAGCTCCACTGTTTATTGCATATAGTGTAACGATGCATGAAGCACCACTCGCAGTAAAGACAATTTCAAACTAAGAAGCTTTCTGTTGGTCAATCGGGCGAAGATCAACTCATACACAAGTGAAATCTACATGGGGAGCTTTTTTGCCCTCACAAGAAACTCCCAATCACACAGATTCCCATTTAAATGACTGGATATCGGCCATAAATTTGGCCAAACAATATTTGTGTGTGACTTTGTGACCACATCTGCAACCACACCTGCAACTACTATTCATTTATTGCACAAAAGCAACAAGAACAATATAAAATAAAAACGATTAACAGGCGCAAGCATAGGCAGAGTTTCTATTTATAACACGTGTTTGCAGCATTGAGCAATGTAGCCAATCACAGACATATCTGTTGATTTCTGGAACGCAGTTGCCAATCAGAGGTACTTAAAGGGGTCCTATTAAGCTTTTTCACTTTTTCGACTTTAGTTAGTCTGTAATGTTGCTGTTTGAGCATAAAAAAGATCTGCAAAGTTACAAAGCTCAAAGTCCACTTCAAAAGGAGATATTTTATTTAACAGAAATCACTTCAAAAACTACAACGAATGCCAGACTGGGGAGAGAGGTGTTGTAATAATGTAAAATAATTGTTAAAAAATAAAAAATAATGTGATTTTCGAACAACCTAGCATGAGAGCCTGTTCTCGTACACCCCCAAAACAAAATCAAGACTTTGTAAAAGAGCATAATAGGACCCTTTTAAGTTAGAACCCACTCAATGCTCAAAACGCCTGAAGTCTTGTGCAGTGCTGAAATTTGCGTGCTCACGAGTCCTCTTATTATAACACACGAAGCGTAGACATTGTGAAAGAGTCATTGTGCATATATTAGGGCTGCACGATAAATCGCATGCGATATTTAACGCGCATCTTG